AGGCCCACTTCTCCCGTTTGAGTCTGGGTCCCCAGAGACTTGCCTGGAACTGGAGCTCAGAGCCTGAGACTTCCTCCGGATTGAAACAGACAACCGCACCCTCAGCCACCAGCCCGCTCCGCATGCACTCCGCACCTTTGTATTTTACTTCCGCACTGCGCCTCCTCTGAGTCTCAGTGTTTTTCTCTTTCCTCCTAGTTGTAGAATTTCCACTCATCCAGCTTTCCTGTGGTTCTGGATGATGTCCGTTTCGTCTTTTAGTTGTATTTTTGAAGTGATTGTTCAAGGCAGCAAACTCCGGTGTTTACCTATGCCACCATCTTGGTTTCCTAGATGACATAGTTTTGAGATACAGTTGAAAAATCTTCTGTCTTTCAATTCTAATTATCAAGACTATGAAATATTATTTACTTTGAATTATGTTTAATGTAGCATGCAATGCAAAGTTTGTTACTGTTTATTTGTAATTGTTGATAACTTATTTAAAACATATTCATTTATATATTTTGTGATACTTCTGATTTATTGGTGCACATTCTATTTAAAGTAATGAAAAGGAAACTAACAGACTTGCAATAGTGTTGATGCTCATCTTTGAAAATATTTGTTTATTAAAATATGATTGCTGTTTTAAAGTACATTTTATAAAAACTAGCTATTCATAAGAAATATTTGAAAAAGTGCAAGAAATAAAATAAAAGATTGGCAGGAAGAAAACCACATATAGTATATAATTGACCAGACAATTATGTAAATTTATGTAGCATTTGTAGAATGAACAGGATCTTAATATATATTTAGGTCATGAATATGATTTCAGGGAAAATGGTTACTTAAACAATTTATTATATTTTTTCTTGGTAATTTTGTTTTTATATCCATTTTGATAAAGTCAATTTAATAATCCTAAAACATTATCAAACGTTTAGAAATTTTAAGAGCAAGGAAATGAAAATAAATATATATGTACAATTTTGAGCCAATCTAATAAAAATAAAACCTAAGTTTCTCTTACTATTCTGATTAATATTGATTCTGTTATATCTCAATCAGGATTAGTTCGCTTATCACATCTAAGGTAAACCACTAATTCATCACTGAGCTTTTCTGAAATGCTTTACTTAATATGCATTCAAATATCTGCCTTCTATTAGTTATTTACCTTAAATCAGTGGTCAGCAAACTGCGGCTCATGAGCCACATGCAGCTCTTTGGCCCCTTGAGTATGGCTCTTCCACAAAATACTATGTGTGGACGCTCATGTACAGTGTGTTTGGAACTTTGTGGCCCATGCGCAGAAGGCGGTATTTTGTGGAAGAGCCATACTCAAGGGGCCAAAGAGCTGCATGTGGCTCATGAGCCGCATTTTGCCAACCACTGCCTTAGAGGATGTTCTGTGAATTTTAATAAGGATCACTAATATTTTTTAAGGTGAAATCATCTTGGCATTAATTTATGATTAGAGTCTGTAAAACGTACAGATAATTCTCCCACAAATGTATGTTCTAGGCAGAAATGTGGTTTATTTCTGAATATCTCAAATGGAAGTTTCTATGTTTTAGAATATATTTATCATATTTAGTGCTCTCTTTTTCCCAATGTGGTATAATCCCTATAAAAATCTCTAATGATAAGTTAATCAGTCATAATTTGAAATATTTAGTTATCCATTTTTATTATTTACTTTACTAGAATTTTTCATTATTCATGATATCATTTATTAAACATTGAAGTAGATTTGCCATTGTGATAAAAATACTTGAAATATTCCATTTCTAATAAATATATTTTCTTGCTTGTTTTGTAATCTGAATTTGAAAAGTATCATCCTTGCCTACATTTAGCTGTTATTGCCTTCATCACCTTTCACTTCACATTCTCTTCTCAGCCATCTTTTACTGGTTTATAAGCCACCAACTCAGTAACCTTTTAAACAGTGCCTTTCAAGATTAGTCATCTTTTTACTGCCATAGTAATGAACATCAGCATTGCTTAGAACTATTGATCACTGCCTTCATAGTTAAAACAATTTATTTTTTCAATTAAATGAGATATTATTGTGTGATTTTCTGTGATTATATGGAAGATATTTTTGTTTGTTTTGTTAATA